TTACTTGATTTGATTGACGTCATCCTTTTTTCAAAAAGAAATTAGGTCCCACTATTCAAACAACAGTGTTACGCTAGGCGGTATAGAAGTATGCATAACACATCTGAAACACGTCTCAATTGACAATTTCCAACTTTATCAAAATTATGCAAGTTTTTAAAGTAGAAATTTATAACCAATCTATATATGTATACTGTTAGTAAGACCATAATACCACCATATAAGGATGGTGCTATTTAAGTAGGAATTGTCGGATACCTGAACTTAAAAGACTATAGAGGTGTGTCGGTGGCATAGCGGTTAGGACGCTCGCCGACCATGCACATGGTCCAGGGTTCGATCCCCAGCCACAAACACACTCCTCCCTTACCTCGCCAACCCAGTAATAAAGCTGATAATGAGGAAAGGTTGGGCATGAGGTAGCTAGCAACCCCCATCCTGTAAAAATAAACACCACTGCTAAAGAAACTTCAAGCCTCTAGCTTGAAGCCATATATTCCACTGGAAACGTGAAGGACTACTGAATATCCTGCATAATTCTGTCGTATCCCTATAGGGAATTTGTAGCTTTAAATACCTTAACTATTGAATCAGTTAGCACAGTTGATCATTCCACTCAACTGAGAAAAGATATAAGAAAGTTAAAGAAAAATTTTCATTTCACAGATGAAACAAAAAGAAATCACATTTCAAAGCTACTTAAACTCACAATTAAAGCATTTAGAAAAACAAAAAAACTAAATCAACTTTTCAAGTATTAGGACTGTGATAAAGATGTAGTTTAATTCGACCGGTTGACGTTTCAAAAGAGACAAAAGAAATATTCTTAGCTAAATTCTCTGATTAGACTTGAAATGAAAACTGAATGTAACTGAAAAATACCGGCCAACAGCGTAGGCTCTAAGATGAATTTATATGATGGAGCATAATTAGGTTCACTTAAGTGGAGTACTCACCAAACATTCCTTTGAGTAGCAGATACTGTAACGACAGAAGACAACGGCCAGACAAAAGATCGTTTATTGAGAAAATCAGCAGACACTTACAGATTTCTATGTACATTATTATTAGTTAATGTTAGCAGAGAAACAACGTCTTCCTGCTGAAGGTTAATTCTGTCATCTCTCTCTGGCTGTTTCTTAGACAGTTCGTTGATATTTCTGCTGATCGTATTCGCCCACGCAAAGTCTGCTGTGATTGGTTATTATGTTAGTCTTTGTTCTTGTTTTTTTCTCATGCCTAAGATTTGGGGTGTAGACATTGACGTAAATTGCTGTCTGCCAATTTTGGCTAGCAGACAACTCTCACCACAATACCACAACTAAAACTCATCCAGGAATTATGTGACATTCATACTGAAACCGTTACTAAATAATTCTTTTTTTTCTTTTTGGATTACTCACAGGCATTTTAATTCTGAGAATGAATCACCGTTTGAATAGACCCTAAAATCAGGCTTCATCAGTCTTTATAATCGCCTTTCCTCATAGTAGATTGACAATTCACATTCCTTAACCATGGTTTCATGGTTAAGCTTTGATTATTTGGCTTTTAACACTTGCTGTCTCATGTTTAACACTGGCACTGTCGTCTTCAAATCTTTGATATTTACTGAAAGTTACTACTCTGGACTGCTCTTTCTTAGTCTGTCTACACTCCAAATTATGAATCTGCATGAACTCAACTAGTGGAACAATAAAGAGATGATTAATAAATTATATCTTGTCTGTCTGTTTTCAACATAAAACTTTGCACCGATGTGCAACAGTTCAAGTCGTCACACTCCATGTAGCACACAAAGCAAGAGAGGAAGGTAGAAGAAATCCACAATAGAGACACTAGACAGGGATATGAGACAAAAGGAATAGTAATAACAAAGAACAATAGAGTTTCATTGGAAATTATAAGTCACTAGTAGTGGATGCTACTTTGCTAGCTAGGTTTCTAGCCGGTCCCAAGCCCGGATAAAGAGGGAGGGTTGGGGCGTGGTGCTAGCAGCTCCATCCCCAGAACTCAACCAAACCGCTACAGAAACTTCAACGCACCGATATATTAAAAATTCTAAAAATATAAACAGTAACCTTATTTTTCGCTGGAATCGGGGAAGTGAAATGATGCAGGCTGGTGAAAGCCTTCGGGAAGCCAATCAGCCGGTGTGCCTCTTTTCTTTCGATGAAAGCAAAAATAAGGATGGGTACGTGGAATGTTCGTACAATGTACGAAACTGGAAAGGCTGCCCAGGTAGCAGCAGAAATGAGGAGATATGGAATAGAAGTGCTGGGTATCTGCGAGAGCAGATGGAACGGATGCAAAAGGAATAACACAACCACTACTGAAACTTTAGAGCATCACGTTCCACTCGGAATCGAAAATTTTTCGCTGTACACATTGCCTTCTATAAGTAGTCAGATATCATGCCAACATTAAAGTTGATACAACTTGATGGACATCAAACGAGTCTTTTGTATTTGAGCTGAGACTTCATCAGTAACAAATCTATCCAATTAAGTGCAACAGTCAATACACTCAACCATCTCACTGTCTATACTTAAATTATGAGGGCACAGATTAGTTCTGAAACACTTTGCATTCACAATAGGAGTCAACAACACCAAAGCATCCTGCGCTTCCCCTTGTCTTCGTATGAATATACATCCTAGGATTTAACATGCGATATGAGTCAAGCTGACCTCTACTCCGTGAATGTCACTGGAAGATTTGTGTACCAATCAGCCTTTTAGTTGTTTCTCCTAAGCACTTATTCAGGTCGCATCCTTCTCAGGTATCATCTAACTTACCACAGCATTTTAAGGACCTGTTGGCCTAACAAGCCTAACCATTAACAGATATTACCCATTTTCGATGTTTCTCCCAATTTTATTCTCCTTCGCCGCCCACTACACAGCTTTTGCTCATCCCCATATACGGAACCCGCCAGTGTATCTCCATTAACTAACTACCCATCAGAAGACAGTAGACAGAAACTTAGACGGTCTCCTTGGAAAAGACTTCGCGTCAATCTCAGTCAGTATTCATTCCGGAAAGTTTAAGGTAAGAGACTGGTAAATGTATGTGTCACTATTTTGAACTGTACACCATTTGTAAGCTGCCATATTTGCTGTTCATCTTGACGATTTAAGAAAAGTAAATGGTTATCCAGTTGCAGAGATAAATGTTCCCCGGTGCCATTATTTTTTCTGTCGTACAAACCGTTATTGTAGTACTATCATATCAAAAACACGATTATCATTCTCTCCCACCCGCCAATAAATTGACTAACGAAAGTTGAGCAGTTTGCACACGACTTCTAAGATAAGCAAACTAATACTTTTAACAATACTGGGTTCGATAATTGTAGGAATAATTCTAGAACTTTCTCACACATCTAATATAGGTACACAAATGTACGGCCTAGCTGATGACTTCGTCGAAAAGAAAATTCTCTTCGCTACAACCGTTGTTTTTAATAATTCCTATGATCCAATGTGTATATTCCGTGATTTGAAGAGAAGCAATGACAGTTCGACGGTAAAGGGACTGAGCAAGTTTCTACGTTTGTCAATCAAGTTTGCTGAGGCCAGTGCAAAGATTTTCTTCTTGGAGAATCGCCTTGAGAAACATGAATATCCCAAAGTATTCTGGAAGCACCTCAAACGAAATCACATATTCCCTGACTCATGTACACTGAAACGACACACTGAATCACATTGATGCAGTTCGATCAAGGCCACGTGAACTGGAGCAGAATATCTCAAAATACTCCCACATTCTCTGTGAATTACCTGAAGATGAAAGAACATCATTCGAGAACCACTCCATTACGGTTACAAAGAAAAGAACAGATAACGTCGTAATGAAACTAAAACAGAGCCAAAAGTCCGTCACCAAAGAAACCATCTTTCCTACATGTCCAGAAAAATACGTGTTCAGTTATTCTGATGTTCCACTATCTCCAATTGTAGGAATTACATTTGGTTTAGAAGGAGTAACAGCTTACATCAAGGAAAAAGACCAAGTAGTAAATAATTGAGTCTTTTGTAGAATAGATGACAGGTAATATGTCCCCTTATTTCGTCATCATCACTCAGCTATCAAATTCCAACAATATTTCAAAAGGGCAGCTATGGTCATTAATCTGTACGGCAGTAAGGAGAGATCTAGTATATAAGTGGTGGGTAAACTTTCTTAACATTAGCCTGTAGCCTTTTCATATTTTTGAGTTGACTGTGAGTGTGCCTAGTTACTGCATTAACTATTCTCTCTTACTTTCACAATAAACTATTCTAAAGTATCATTACTTGGATACGCAAAACTACTTTTACCTGAGTGTAATTTATTTCACTGGTGTGAAGTAAACATTTCTTTTAACACGACAAACAGGCTGTTTAAAAGAAACTTTACGCATTTTTTACGCACTAGAAAATTATCTTAGATCAGGATGAATTTTAAAATATAAGGCTTCAAAATTAATGAGGATGATCAAACTAAAACATTTACACACACACACACACATTAGTGTCAGTTAGTTTACGTGTGATAAGAAACCGCGATCCCAGGTCTAGTTTGATAGACAAAATCCGTGACTTGAAATGAATCCCAGTAGGCAAAGGGCACTAGTATTGTACATCTGATGGGTACGATGTATAACACACCGTTTTTAGCTGAATACTGTATAACATTTGCCTTTTTTCTCATTCTTTTTGTGCTGATTTAAAGAGCAGCAACTTCAACCAAAACGTCAATTATAAAGTTGTTTTTATACACCTTCACCTTTTAGGGACAACATAGAGATCGTCCTTCATAACAAACATCTTACTCAATGTAATTCAGTTATATTGACTGACTGGTTTCAACGTAGAAAGTTGCACAGATGAGCAACAGTTCGAGTTGCCACACTCCATGTAGGACACAAAGCAAAGGAAGAAAGTAGAGAGAGGTTCAAAAGAGAAATATTCAACAGAAATATGAGATGAAAAGACTAGTAAAATGGGAGAACTTACATAGTTTTATTGGATATTACAAATCACAAGAAGTGGATGCATCTGCACAAGTCATCGAGAATAATTTCGAGCCATATCACCAATTGTCTGCAGCTTTCAATGTTTTTTACCGTCCCAAGTCTACACCTCCCTACGTGGCTGGCTGGCTTCAACTGACTGTTGTGGATTTCATTGACTGATAAAGCCATGTTTTGGTTTAACCACCGCTAGCTAATTCTTTTACAACCTGATCCATCTTATGTCAGCTAACATTGCCCATTGTTGAGGAAGGCGATGGCTAGTCATGCTTTCGTAACACATGTCCCAACCATTTCAGTCGATGTAACTTCACAAACTCGTCTATTCATTTCCTCTCCTTACCTAGCACTCGACGGATGCCTAACCTCAATATTGCTCACCCTATTATACCACTTCACAAGGAAGACAGAGCGCAGGCATCTATGAACTAAGACAGCTAACCTTTTCATGTCTTCCACCTTCATTGACTAAGTCTCGCTCACAGCCATAAAGGAGGACAGAGCGAAGCGATGAGCAGTACACACATCCTTTGATCACGTCTACTAAGCCAGAGATGGCGCAAGTTGGCTAATAAATGCCGAACAAGCCTTCTGTATCCATGCTGAAATTTCGTTAGCGATCAACCTGCTGGCGTTGGCTGATGCAACTCCTCAAATAAGTGGTTACCACACACCACCAACCACTTCACTCCCTATTTCTAAGCTAGGAGTCGATATAATCCAATCCTGTAGCATTATCTTACATTTGGCGAGAGTGTGTCCCACGCCAAACATTCGCAGATTGCTAGTCAAGTTGTACAGAAGTTTCTGTATTTTGTCACCATCCTCACCTAGAAGGACTTTATCATCTGCATATTCTAAGTCAACGAGATTATTCTCTGGTAACAAGACGATCCATGATTTCCTGAAGTCAGTTAGAGTTAATTCCATTGGTACATCTATGATGAAATTGAAGATATTAAAGGAACAGAAGTTATCAGAAAATTTTTGACACAATAACTAAGTGATATAAAAGTGGACGTTACCAATGTAAGATCACATATTTGTAGTGTAAATCTGTGGCTACCATTGCAAGACAGAAAACTTTAGAAAAATAAAGTAAAAACCTCACTTATGACTATAGTTACAGTTTTAAGTGGACGCTCTAAATAAAACTAGGCTACGTATTGCCACAAAAAACTACTGCAGACTTTCATCAACAGCTTTCTATACTACACCGATACAGAAGATCAAATGGCGCCGCAAAAGGATTAGCAACAAGAAACATTTTTAGCAGCGAATCATTTAAGAACATATCACCCAAAAAATAAGCAGAAGGAATTGGAGACTGATAGGGCATACATTGAAGCGGTCATTAAGTGATATCACATTTCAGGAGAGTGAATGGAAAAAGATGAATAAAACAATTCCAACAGTGGTGTGAACACGGTCAGTAATTTTGCTCGAAATATTACCAATAACAAAACTTATCATTGTGTGTAAACTATTGATACATAATTATACTTTACTGGAAAAAGATGACTTGAGCATCTGGAGTGACATGAAGAGAAATCATACAAGGAGGAAATGAAAGTTTGTGGGCAACCAGTTAAACCAGTTGAAGATGACAACAGTGAACAGATAAAAATGTAGGTGTGCTGCTGAAGCTCTATGTCACTTTCAGAACTCAGAGTTGAATACTAATCATAATAATTGCTAATAAATACTGACACAAGTTTTCATTGTTACTTAGGAAAAACTCGACTAGGCTTTAATGTTTTCCGGGAAAGAATGTAATAGTGACTGAGATAGTTAGGAAATGTGTTAAGTATGTCTAGGCATCGCCATCCTCGACAGTGGGTAATGTTAGCTGGCATAGGATGGGTCAGGTTGGAGAAGAGCCAGTGGTGGTCGAACCAAAACATGATCTCATCAATCAATGAAATCCACAACAGTCAGTTTTAGCCAGCCAGCCAGCCACGTTCGGAGGTGTGCACTTCCCGACTGGGGTCCTCGCGATGGTAAAATCGATGGATGGAGACAATTGGTGATATGGCTCGAAATCATTCTCAATGATTGGCGCAGATACATTCACAAATCACTCCTTGTGGTTTGTAATATCCAATAAAACTATGTAAGTTCTCCCAATTCACTAGTCTTTTCATCTCCTATTTCTGTTGAATATCTCTCTTTTGAACCTCTCTCTACTTTCTTCCCTTGCTTTGTGTCCTACATGGAGTGTGGCAACTCGAACTGTTGCACATCTGTGCAACGTTCTACGCTGAAACCAGTTAGTTATGTAGTAGTGAGCTGAACAGCAACAAAACATTTCCCATATAGATGTTGGCTTTGATTACGACTGTTAGAAGTGCGATGTAGTCATTTGTACTTGATTAAACTATAAAAGGTTGACTTCGGAAACTCGTTATTAATTAGCGCATCATCGGTTCCAACTACAGTCTACATACTATGATACAAACAACCAGGTTCTAACGCCGAATAACATTTTAGCGTAGAAGCTGCACATAGTTGAAATAAAGAGCTGATTCGAAGACTTTATGAAGTCAGGTTTCTTAGGTAACTAACAAGTGTTTAAATAACTCCATATATATATATATATATATATATATATATATATATATATATATATATATATATATAGGGAGAGAGTGAGAGAAAGAAAGAAAGATCAGAAAGCAGTTCAATGAACAGCGCAGTGGATAAAGGAGTGAAAAGTGTTAGGAAAGACAAAATATAGTACCACGGCACATTGGAAACTGAAGCAGAGCAGGCTGTAGGCAAAATATACTTTAGAACACTGTACCAGATAACCAGGTAGTTATTAGGGAAGAGATCAGCACAGATGAAACCAATGATAGTGAAGCATACCTAATTATCAAAGAGGCGAAACAAAGAAAACAATGGGTTGATCACTCCAAAGGACTCCCATCACCTGCAACTCGTTCAAAAATACCATCAATAGCCACACAACTGCCAGTGGATACTAATCCTCGAAAAAACAGAAGTAAAGTCAGGCTACTGAAGGCCGAGGAAAGCAGCAGGATCGGATGAAATTACTCTTGAAGCAATGAAAACCAATCCAGAAACCGCAATGGATATGTTTGGAAGGAATAGAAGATACTTGTGGAGTGGAAGAAATCATACCTTGTCAAACTGTTATAGGAGGGAGACTTAGGCTACTGCAAGATATAGCGCCGAATCATGTTCTTCTCTACGCCAAGTGAGATACTAAGTCGCATCATCCTGGGGAGACTAAACGAGACTTTGGGTCATGTGAGCAGCAGATGAAAGCTTATGGGCAATCTTCAAGCTAGCTTAAGAGGACTGCAGAGAAGAGGACAAAATGGAGATGTGATGTGGAATATATATATATGTATATATTCCACATCATATATATATATATATATATATATATATATATATATATATATACATTACAAGTAATAATGAGGAATGTAGAAAATAGGTGTGGTATTAAAATATAAAACACGTTGACATGTGAGTGTATTTACAATTATAAGGACATATCAACCTGCAAAAATATAAAAAAAACTATGGAGACCAAAAATATTTAACTAGCGTTATGAAGTAAAATCACCACATAAATCTTTGAAGAACACCAGGTGTGTTTGACCATTCAAACGGCTTGTAAATAAAAAGATATGCTGTCACCAAAGTAATTGAAAAATTGTACAAAATTTCATAGTATAAATACTTACTATCAGCATAGTACAAAGAGAAAATACGCCAAAAAATAAACGGGATCAAAAAGTAACGCAGTTCGAATAACCCTGAAGAAATCACAACGACAAATATACAAATCAATAGGGTCAGACGTACCATAAAGAAGTCAAATGGCACATGTCGAACAGACTGAAACAAAGCTTTCAGAAAGTAAGTAGTTGTGACGAGGTAGACAATGGATAGAGCGTAATACATGGGAGGAGAATAATTTATCATTCTGCGCCAGATATAAAATGTATAGTGTCTGTTATCAGAAATTAAATAAGGATGAACAAACAATGTATATTTCAGAAATATAATAATAATAAATATGAAGAATAACGATATCAGTAATAGTATCAATAAAGACTTCCAACGGCGTTTAGCAAACTGATTCCACAGCAGTTTAAAGTTAGTGATAATGAATTCAATAAACTGAAAAGGAGTGGAAAATGCACAAAAAGTGACAAAGTAGAAAAACTGAGGAATGTTTAGAACTGCCTTATGAGCTTCTCTATCACCCAAAACAATACCTCCATTCATGATGACAAAGATCAGAAACGAAATCAAAACTAAAACATACGGCATACACAAACGGAAAATGTTTTCGAATACTATGTATGCCACAGATAGCGGATGTAAAATAATCATATTCAAAAGCTTTTTTATCCAAACGCCAGGTGGAAGTCGTTCATTCCCAAACAAATCTCTTGATAATTTTACAGAAGCAGATATACACATGAGTAAAAGAACCCAAACGATATTAGACTGTCGTGTGAAAATAGAATATGACAGGAAGACCGCACTTAACCACGGTTTACTCTGGAAACTAAGCCAAACAGACGCAAGTACAAAGAATAGAGAGCAATGGTCAGTATAATATAAGGCAGAAAAGAAGAAAAGAATTGGTTCCGATATAAGAGAAAGAGCAAAAGCATCAGGGAATGGGTTTTTTGTTGCTCGGAGTAACTTTAGTATTACGAAATGATTACAAAGACTAAAAACGACATTTGAAGTCCTGAAATGCAATGTGGTAAGTTTGGCTGGCGCTATATTTAACCAGCTTAAAATTCTGAAGATCGAAACAAATATCAAATAGAGGCCAGGGGGAGTAGTGATTTTGTTATCCCAATGGTTCCAGTCCCCTTCAATATATCTCACTGTCTGACGTACATGAAAAATTTCATCCATATAAGGCTCATTCTGGTACTTTGAAAACGTATAGGCTAAATAGAATGACAAGATGAAAGTGCATACACTAGTGGAAAAAGAGATCCAGAAATTTCTACTCATGTTTTACAGCTCACTGACAAATCGATCCCCTGATTCTTTTTTGGAAACTGAAAAATGTTATCTAACAAAGGTTGAAAGACTATCTTTGAAAACGGTTTCCTCGAACTGCACAACAATAATTAGGACTAAAGACATAAAAACTAACAGCAAGAAACAAAACAGTACGACAACTACGAACCACTCACGCAATGCGTGGAAGGTCAAAACTCGACCTCAATTGAGGATTACAAAGTCCAATATGTTCTTACTGAGACTGTTTTCTTAGAAGTCGATACCAACAAAAGGCTCTGGTTACTTTTTGGATTCAAATGCAGTACAATCTAAAGGATATTCCTAGTATCATGTTTCATTACGCCAGTAAGAATGCCATGCTTTTCACATCAATTAATTTGTTTATATGGACTTATAACCAATATCCAATATCCTGAATACAAGCTAGTATAAACCAGTGATTTCTTTCAGCTCGCTTCTTGATTGTGAGATAGAGGTTCCAGATCTTCGGTGAGCTTCTGTGTAGTAAGTCCCGCCACTCGACTGCTTTAGCTCTGGTAGACTCCAAGAGGAGTGGTGCGGGGATTGGTCAAGATGTGGTTTGTAGTATGCAGTATGTTAGGACTGTGTTGCTGCCGTGAATGGAGTTTGGCCTAACTCCCGTTGGTCATTCGGTGTAGTCATAAAAGCAGAATAGTAAAAATAATAATAGGTTGTAGTGTGGATAATATGGGTCGAGAAAAGTGAAATAAAAAAGGTGACCTAAGGAAAAGGTAGAGTAGTCGATACAGTGGGAGAAGGCAGGAAAAGTTGTGGGGATTTGGTTTGTACGCTTATCCACTGACAGTGTGGTTTTAAGTTTTATGAGGATAAGCAATTGAGACAAAAACCTTGAATTTTTGCATGATTGCCTAGCTTCCGCTTAAAAATCTCCACAGATGGCGTTGTAGTCACGGCCGCAGGTAAACCGTTCCAGAGACAGCAAACACGAAGCGAAAAGAAATGTGATCGCTCTTGTCAATCACGTCTCATAAACCGTTAATGCCCAGCTCTCGCTACGCTCGGGCCCACGCTGTTCTTCGAAGATTTCTCAGAAACGCTTAGTTATAACGGACGAAAAAACCAAAACACTGATCTGCCGCTTTAGATTTGTTTATTGTTACACCAACATATAAAAGGAATAAGCGAACTAAGGTCTGTGAACAAATATTACAATAATAAATCATAAGATTACTTCTGACGATGTTTCACTCTTCTTTCTGAACAGCAACCGATGAGACGATGACTGTCGTATTGATGCCTCCGCGAAAATTGGGGAAGTTGATTTTAAGCAAACAACCAAGAATTGATCGTTCAATCTTCAACTCCATTGACACTCCCCGGCAAAAAAGGGATCC